CATACAAAATATGTTATAATTAGTTATTAAGAAAAATCAAACAAATGAGCGATCATTTTTGTAATTTTAAAAAGGTGTCACCATTGGGCATGGTCACTAGTTCAATACGTATATACCAGGATTTGGTATCGAGTACTTGGTATTAGATAAATGAGTGCTTTGGCATTGTATACTATATCGTGCACCTTCCTCTAATTACATGTACATGTACATGTTTGATGGTGTAGGTATTAATCTAGAGATATCAGTGGTTGATCTGACAACTGGTAAAGTAGGACCAGCTAAACTAATGAGAGGTGATGGAGGTTGGACTGTTGGAGAATTAAAGCAATATATAGGAGAAGTAAGAGGAAGCTTAAGGATATACTGTCATTTTATATTGATCATTCCTGTCCTACTGTCTCTCTATCTGATCTTTATTTAGTCATTTAATCTCATTTCATCATCTATGAGATTACTAATACTTGATAGAATTTCCTCAGTCTGTGATGTTATACATTTAGAAAATGGTGAAAGTTCTTTAAAGGATGTGCTTTTTAAAGGAGGTGTATTCAGTTCACACAAACTGCACAGAGAGCAACTTGTAGTACCAACAGTAAGTGCTAATTGGGCAAAGCCCTTACAAGTGAAGTACTGTTTGAGTTTGTTTGTTTGTATGTGTGGCAGAATGTGGTGAGGGGGCAGAGACTCATAATGTTTTACATTCTTTGAGTGCTAATTATTATTTTTGTGAGCCTGTAGACATTTACTCACTTCATCTGTATGTCTACAGGGAACTGCAACGGTAATTATTGGACTCGCCACGCTTGCGTAGGCGGGTACTATGCAGTTGGGTTGTCATTCTGTCACGAAAATTCCTGTTAATTCCTAGTCAATATCTTTTTTACTGAGCTCTCCTGAGTTATAATTCTTTTTAAGCTTTGAGAAAAAGATAATTTATTTAGCTCCATTGTATTTTCGTAGCAATCTGTGATAACAAAAGCTGAATATTTTCAAGAATAGACCACTTTTCCTAGCCAAATCTTCGTGTTTCACTCTATTTGGTCAAGATTAGCATTGATAGATAGAGAAAAGTACATAGATTAAAAAATATGTGGGAATTTTCTAATCTCTTTTTTGTTTGCGAACTACAGTTGCTCAAAGTTTGTGATTTAGCCTCTTCGAAAAATTTTCAGGCAGCACTGGGGAAAGCAGGAGCAACCAAACTATCTTAGTCTCTTTTAAATATCTAGGCAAATTTTTTGTGCTTACTCTTTCTTTGAATAGAGCTTCAGATGCTAAAATAAATTTCAGCTTTTCTTCTTTCTCCTACCCACGTGCCATGTTTATCTGCACTGCACTGCTAAGTGCTGACCACACCTAAAATTTATTTTATGGATCAGTGCAGTAATTGCATTGTTGCACTTTGCACTTTGTCAAAATCTATTATCCTTTTTTCAAATATCAAGTTGCTTATCTATATAATATCATGATGGGGGCGTACAAGTGACACATTATCCCTCAGGTGAATCTCAGTAGGCAAGTCCACGCACCATGGTGCTTCATCAATCATGCAGTACACCTGAATAAGTCTCAGGACAATCATATGCATGCCTGATTTATGAAAAGGATTTGTGATCTATTTAGTGCAACCATAATGAATGATGTACCTTAAGGAGACAATTGTTAGCTGGTATTTAATTTAGCAAATTTTTGCAGTTTTAAAAAAAATTGCTAACTTAAGTTCACGCTAACTTTAATTTTTGATTAAATTATTCATAGTTATTAATATTAAATAATCAAAAATGCTACCAGCCAAATGTCAGTATCATGAAAATCACTAAAATAATTGCACACTAATAATTGTCTCCTTAATTTATATGCTTTTATGCTCTATACATCAGGTTAATTAGTTTGGCCAAACAAAAGGAATATGCTATACAGTATTTTAATATTTTCCTCCTCCTTACTGTTTTTGTTCACACACACACATGCTCTCTCCTTTCTTCTTAGATATATGTATCATCAGATCCTATAGATTTTCTTGAGAAATATAAAGATAGTTTGATGTACAAATATGTTGATTTTCACTTCAACTCAATACTATTGGACATTACACTACCTCCTCCTCAACCTGAAGCCACTCTCAGTGCAACTAATGTAACTGAAGGAGGAACAATAATGAAAATAATATCAATGAATGAAGAAAATAAAAGAAGTAATTTTTTTATCTAAGTATAATTATTCTAAAGAACATTAAACATTATGTTATTCAATACAGAGATAAAGGTACAAGTTGATAAGAGAATAACATTAGCTCAATTGAAGAAGGAGCTAGTTCCACTGATTGGTGTACCACCTACTGGTTTTAGAGTGTATGAAATCAGATATAATAATGAAGAATATAAAATGGAGAAACTGGATGAGACATTAATTGATATCATATCTGGATCAAAAGTATTTTGATTCACTTCTCCTTTCTACTAGACGTTGTACATGTACATGTATGTACTAAAAATACTTCATTTATCTTCTAGTTGATAGTAAGACTGGGTAGAGTCAGAATTAAGTTATATTTATTACAAGTTAACAATACAAATGTAAGACTATTAGTCTATTAATTATTATAATTTTATATTTTATTTTATGTTTTAGTTTTGTAAGTATATGATGGAGTTTATTGTTGCTGTGGGTACAGCAGTGAGAGAATTTAAGAAGCAAATTATTGAAGAAGCAAAAGTACAAGGAATTGACTGTGTCCTTGAATTAGACAAGTAAGTACATCATGTGACTATCATGTGACTCATTGTGTAGAATGAGATTACGTGAAAAGAGAGGAGTGTACCCTGATACAGTATATCTTGATCATCAGGTGATTGGTGCTAGTTGGGAAACATGTTATGTGGAACCATTGAAAGGTCATAATCTCAATATTTTCATTTTAAACTGTATAGCAGGATTTATTTTCTGGTGAAATTGACTAAATTATTGGTGACTTGTAGATTAAGGCCACGTTTGAAAACAATGCAATCTGTGTGCCTGTTTTATGCTTCTTTTTACACAGGAAACGTGATAAATTCTTAATAGAACTCTATGGAAACGAAAACGGTATTCAAGTGGATACTGCGTATTTTAGCAAGAGGGTGTCACTTGCATATAGACTGTAGTTACACTTGCGACCGCAATCAAAAGCTTTGATCTGCATAAAAAGACCTCTGATACCTTGATCTACAGGCTTGATTTCCCTTGATGCTTGATTTTGATGAGCTCACGTGCATGCACAGCTAATTAAAAATTCATAGATCTGCATAATCAAAGATATACGGAAAATATACATATCTTGATGCCTGCTACAGACTGTCTTGATCCCTTGATTGCAATCTGATTGTCCCTTTGATGTCTTGATTTTGATTTGATCGCGGTCGCAAGTGTAACTACAGGCTTGATGAAAGTGACACCCCATTGTTTAGCCCACTT